GCCCTTCCTCCCTCAGACCCAGGAGTCCCAGCTCCTCCTCCCTCAGACCCAGGAGTGCAGGCCCCCAGCCCTTCCTCCCTCAGACCCAGGAGTCCAGGCCCCCAGCTCCTCCTCCTCAGACCCAGCAGTCTGGGACCCAGGAGCCCAGGGGCCCGCCCCTAGGCCTCACAGGGACCCAAGCATCAGCTCCCCAGCCTCTCCTAAGGTTTCAGGGGCGAGCAGCTGATTTTCTCCCCCACTCCTGCTAGACCCCCGTTTCTCTACCTTGACCCCATGACCTTATATCTCTACATCTCTCCGTCCAGGGGTCCACTCCTTTGGGGAGGCTGAGACTGCTCCTGATGCAGGGGTTGGAGGAGTGTCCTCCCTGTCCCCCAAGCCTCCATGCTTCCGTGTCAGACGCAGTGCTGCTGCAGGGCTGGCCCAGGGCCAAGCCTCCCTCCCACCCGCTGCAACCCTCTTAGAGGTTCCCAGGCTTCCAGGCTGCAGCCCCTCCCAGTAGCCCCCGGGCTCAGCCTCCAGGTCTGGGGGCAGCCAGCAGGCAGCTCAACCCTCCACAAGGTCACGAGGGGATTAGCGCTGAGCCGTGCTGAGCCGAGGATCTCTGCTTGGCCCTGGGCCCGCAGGATCTGTCAGCAGCCCTCCACCAGCACCAGGCCTCACCCCACCCCTCCTGCCAGCCTCCGAGGACACTGCCCTCCCCATGTGCCCAGGCCCCCAAACTGGAACTTCAGTCACTCCCCCTCACACCACATCCTGTTCCAGCCAGGCCCAGGGCCTCTGCCTCTTACTCTTCTGCACCCCAAATCCAGGCCAGCTCCTAGTCTGTCCTTCAGAGACCTGACCATGCCCACCCCTTATTCAAACCTGTCCCTGGCTCCTACCAGCCTCCAGGAGAGAGGCCAGGGCCCACAGCTTGTTGGTCAAGGTCCTCAGGACTGGTTGCATGTCCACCATCCCTGTCCACAGCAGGCTGCCTCCTGGGCTTCTGTCCCAGCTGTGCCCAAAACCTAGAGTGCCCTTTCTTCTCCATGGCTGCCAGGCCTGAGGGGTCTTCCATGATTTGCTGGGTCCTTTGAGAGACAGAGACTGAGACATCCATGGGGCCGGCAAGAGAGGTCCAGGAAAAGAGCCAGGCAGAGAATACAGGGAGAGTGACATACAAGGAGATCTGGAGCTGGAAAGACAGAAATGTGAAGATGGACCCAAAGAGAAACAGACACAGGGATAGAGAGGAAGATCGCAGGGTGAGACAGTGAGAAATGGACAAACCAGATGGTTGAAACAGGAGAAACAGACAGGGAGAGACACCCCAAGCATTACAGAGAAGATAGCTTGACAGATGAAGACAGAGACGCAAGGACAGAGAGAGGCAGAGATATGGATGGAGAAAAACATAGAGACAGAAAATACTGACACTTTTGAGGCCGTCTGAGATCCCAACACACTGACTCAGAGAGACACAGGAACCCAGAGAGACAGACTCAGGGAGAGAGAGTTCAGGAGGTGGAAACAGAGAGACATAAAGAGCCAGAGATCAGAGAGAGACAAAATCATAGAGACACACACAGAGAGACTCAGAGACAGAAAGAAAGAGAGACAACGTAAAGTGATAAAGGAGAGGTCAGTGAGAGAAATAGCCACAGAGAGAGACAGATACACACAGAGTACAGAGATGGAGAGGTGAAGAGGCAGAAGGGGACGGAGAGAGACAAAACAGAACAATAAGACACAGAGACCTGGAAAGACAGATTGAGAGAGAGACACACAGACAGAAAAAGAGAGAGAGAAACAGAGACACTCAAGAAGGTTGGACAGGCCCAGGGAGAGGGAGAAAGAGACAGAAAGAGACACACAGAGATAAAAAGACATAAACTGAAGGGGAGAGACCCACCGAGATGGGCACAGAAGCAGAGAGAGAGATGCACAGACAGATCCTGACAGAGAGCCTCAGGGACAGAGACTCAGAGACACATGGAACCAGAGATGGTGAGGCCAATCGGAAGAGACGAGACTCATGGGTTCTGAGAGACCCAGAACCAGAGGGAAAATTCACCCAGAGACACTGGGCAGAGACAGGGAGGCACAGGTGAGCCCCAAGCCAGCCCCTGCCCAGAGACGCAGATATGTGCAGATGCAGGCCAAGGTGAGAGCGGGGCATAGAGGGCCGGTGTCCCCCTGTAACCCCTTCTCGCCCACAGTCTGGTGGCTCTGACAGCTATCGTGTCGCCACCTCGCAGGACAAGAAAGATGACAAGGGCTCGCCCAAGAAGAGCAAGGGCACTAAGGAGCGCCGGGACTTGGACGACCTCAAGAAGGAGGTGGCTATGGTAAGCCCTACCCTCTGCACCCACACACCCTCCCGGAGCAGGCCCCACCCCGCCCCCTGAAAGGCCTCCACACTCACCCGCCTCCCCTCAAATTCCTGTTCTTCAGACAGAGCACAAGATGTCAGTGGAAGAGGTCTGCCGGAAATACAACACAGACTGTGTGCAGGTGCGGCAGGGCCCAAGGGAGGAGGGGCTAAGGGAGGAGGGGCTGGGGGCCTGGACTCCTGGATCTGAGGGAGGAGGGGCTGGGGGTCTGGACTCCTGGGTCTGAGGGAGGAGGGGCTGGGGGCCTGGACCCCTGGGTCTGAGGGAGGAGGGGCTGGGGGCCTGGGCTCCCGGGTCTGAGGGAGGAGGGGCTGGGGGCCTGGACCCCTGGGTCTGAGGGAGGAGGGGCTGGATCCTGGACCCCTGGGTCCGAGGGAGGAAAGCCTGGGGGCTGGGACCCCTGGGTGCCTGGGGATGCTCGTGAAATGTTGGGGTGCCAGGGTTGCTGAGGGAGGGTT